TTCGAGTAGGCAGCAGGTTTTTGGTTGATCTGGTTCATTTGACGGCGGATCACCTACTGGCGGGCACTGGGGCTTGGATAGAGCACCCTGCCCTAGCTTTTTGGGCCCCCGGAGCCCCCGCCCCCCCCCCCGCTGGCCTCCGCCCCCCCCCCGCTGGCCTCCTCTCCTCGCTCTCGCGGCTTCTCCGTGCAGTCGCGCGTCCATCCTTGGCCAGTGCGAACATCAGTGCCCAGATGCTCACCCAAAGTCTCATGGGCGCGCGCGCACATGTATTGCGTCAGTCCGCATGCCGCCCCTGGGTGACAGGTTGAGGGCCACCCCCAGGGTCGGGACATGCCCGCGCGGAAAGGGGGCCCATCGGTATCCATCGGTGTCTTCTTGGCAAAATGGCAAAGGGAACCTTCGGGGCGGCACCTAAGAAGTCTTATCCTGCAGGCATGTGCAATGCCCCCGCTGCAAGTATTTGCGATGGCTTCACTTGCTTGCTGTAGGACCCGGACGGTCTTGAAGTGTCTGTTGCTCGAGATTCGGATTAGGTTTTGTCCAGCCTGCGGGATTCCCATGGTGCTTTGTCCGAGGCCGATGATGCTCAGTATGCTGTGGTTCCTGATGTTGTCAGGGAATGCTTGCCTGGGAAGCGTTCTCGCATCGATCCTGGGCGTGCTCGTTTCGACGGTTCGGCTGTGGGCTCTGGTGGTGAGGAGGGGCCGTCTCTTGCCCCGAGCCGTCTCCGTGGCGGAGCCACCAGATACTTTGCGGAGGATCCATAGTGCTCTCTGGACATCGACCACCATCCACCAAACCACCCCAACCCAACCCGAAGGCTCAGATTTACCCTCGAATTCCAGTGTGGGGGGGGTCGGGAAACATCGACGTCCCCCTGGCTTCTGAAGTTCTGTCGCACCGGTATGCCTTTCCAGCAGCTGCGCCTCGCCAGGAGCGTTCCGAAGGTGACTCCGGACTTCCTTGAACATCCACCAAAAGGCCGAGTAATTGTCCGAAAGCGACAAAGCGTGGGTCATCGCGTTGCGAAGTCAATCGCGATTTCGAAGGGCTACCGGACCGCCAAAAATTGCAGGGTGAGGAGCCAACCCCAGGGAACTGCTCACGAGGCCTTCTCCTCTTCATCCTTATATCGCAGAAACAAGCAATAGAAACATAAACTTTCAGAGGTCCGCGCTGATTTTTTTGTTTGGCGCTGGACCTGCAGGGTGGCGTTTTCTGGTTCGTTCCTGGCGCGTTCCGCGCGCAAGGGGAGGGTGGGGTCAGTTTTGACACAGGAAATCAGGGCAGACTTCCGCCGTTTATGTATTTGCCCATTGTTTCTCTATCTTCCTCACCGTCCCCCTCGGTTCGCCTGCACCGAGCTGCGTTTCGATTTGACGGAGCATGGCAGGCATGCGTATCAGCACGCGGCGGGTTTGAATTCACAAAGTGTTTCTCCCCCTTCGCTGGCAAGAATTCACCTCCTCTCGCTCTTTTTCCCAGTCATATGTTTACTTCTCTTCTTTGTCATTATTATTTGTATTCCTCCTGCTCCTCCTCTTCCTCCTCCCCCTAGGCCTGGGGGCACCCGAGTGGGTCCCCACCCCCGTCGCGCAGAGGACCCCGGGCTTTGGGGTTCCAGCTCGTCCCGCCGCAGCTCGGCAACAAACTTGCCGGGCCTGTCGCGCCTCTAGAGCGCGCGGTCTCCCTTCGGAGCTGGCCGCGGGAACTCTTGCGGGGGCCAGCAGGAGGAGGAAGGACGAGGGAGCCGGGAGAGAGCCGGGAGGCAGAGGAAGACGGGTGCGCGGCCGGGGAGTGCACCACCCCACTCCCCCGTTGGGCGCACGCGCACCCGCCTGAGGCAGAGAGCGGGAAAGGAGAGGGGGAGAGGAGGGGAAGGAGGCTGGGCGACGCGGCGGGGAGGCGAGAGGCAGCAGGGACAAGGAGAGGGAGAACAGGCAGAAGAGGAGCGGGCGCCGAACGGGGTTCAGCGGCTCACCAAGCCTTCGCCGCGCCGTCTCAGCGCGCGCCCGGCCGTCGCCCAGCCGCCGCGGCGAGCGTCGCCGAGCCCGCAGCGCGGTGCCCCCGCCCTGGCTGCAGGCGGCCCGCCAAAGGCTCAGCGCCGAAGGGGGCGCGGCCGGGCGCGCCGCCCTGGCGGCCACACCGAGGTGTTGTACGCCTCGGCGTTGGCCCGCTGCAGCGCGGTGGTCAAGCTCTGGCGCGCCGCCGCGAGCACGGCCGCGTCGCCGGCCGCCCAGGTGCGCAGGAGGACGTGTGCCTCGCGCCCGTGCCGCCCCAACACCTCCAGCGCGAAGGCGCACAGCGCCGCGCCGGGGTAGAGGCGGTGGTTCTTCTCCTCCGCCGCGGCCGCCGCAGCCCCGTTGCGCCAGGCCCTGCCCCACCCCGCTGGCGTCGCGGCCCCGGCTGCAGCGTCGGTCACCACGACGTCCACATACGCGGTGGTGATCACCGGGTCCACGTAAGTCACGTCCAGGCGCGCCGCCTCGAAGCGATCGTCCTGGCGGACCCTGTCCCAAGCAGGGACGAGCTGCTCGGTGCCCACGCCCCTCCCCCCGCGCTCCTTGCGCCAGCGCGCGAGCCAGTCGCGGATGGCGTTGTGGCGCGCTATCGTGCCGGCCCGGCATGGCAGCCCTGGGGGTGGGTCGGGGCCCGCGCGAGGTCCTCTCCGCAAAGTTGCCCGTCTGCGCGGCGGCGCTGGCAGGTGGCGCGAGCGTCAGCGGGTTTCGGGAGGCGGAGGCGCAGCGCCAGCGCCGTCAGGCAGTGCTCGTCCGCCAGGCGGTGGTCGTCCTGCGTCGGCGGGAGCAGCCAGCTGCCAGCGCCCTTCCGCTTGCCGAGCGGAGCTCGGCAACCTGTTCTGGTGGCAGCGCCGCGAGGAGCCGCTTCCGGCTCTCGTCCCGTTCGTGTTGCGCGAGCGCCTTCTGCGCCTTGCGGTTCGGCTCCACCGCGGCCCGGTGCCACTCGTCTGCCCCGAGCCGGAGCTCGTTGCCCGCCCGCTCCGCCGCGCCCCAGCTCTCGCCAGAAGTCGGCCAGGCAGCCGAGCCACGAGCCGGCGAAGGCTGCGAGCCTGCGCTGGGACATGCTGTGCACGCCCACCCCTCCCTCTGCCAAGGGAAGGAAAAATTGCTCCCGCGCGTCTGGTGGCAGAGGTCGCCCGAGCAGGCTCTCCAGGTGTCCCACCACCCTGTTGTCGTAGTCGCGGCACCACTCCTCGATGAGGAGGTGCGCCCGCGCGTGGTGCAGCTCCGCACCGTTCGCGAATGTCTGGGCGAGGACCACCTCATCCTGCGCCGTGAGCCCGTGCGCCCGCAGGCCGCGCAGCTTCCCGAGGTAGGCGATCCGGTGCTCGGTCGCTGCCGCGGGAGCCGCCGTTGGCAGGAAGCTACCCTTCGATGGGTCGGCGCTCAGCCCTTCTGCCGCCGCTCCGCCGCGCGCCCAGCCCCCGCCCCTCCCCCTCCTCCGTCCCCGCCTCCGCCCCCTCCCCCTCCTCCTCATGCCCCTCCTCTTCCTCCTCCTCCTCCTCCTCCTCCTCCTCCTCCTCCTCCTCCTCCCTTTTTCTTAACCATCCTTTGGTGTTGTGTCCTCGTTTTGAAGAGACGCCCCGCGTCTCCTCCTCTCCTCCTCCTCCCCCTCCTCCCTCCTCCCATCCGCCTCGTCACCTCCCTGCGTTTTACCCACCCAGGACAGCGCTTCGTGGCCCCATGGGGAGCTCCACTGAATGTTCCAGTGGCACAGGCCGCATGCGTCAACGCCATCTAAGAGCGCTTCGTAGCCCCATAGGGAACTCCACCGAAGGCTCCAGTGGCACAGGCAGCATGCGTCAACGCCACCCAGGACAGCTTTTCGTGGCCCCACAGGGAGCTCCACCAAAAGCTCCAGTGGCACAGGTCGCATGCGTCAACGCCACCCAGGACAGCGCTTCGTGGCACCATAGGGGGCTCCACCGAAGGTTCCAGTGGCACAGGCCGCATGCGTCAACGCCACCCAGGACAGCGTTTCGTGGCCCAAAGGGGACTCCACCGAAGGCGAGTGTTTGGGGGGTGGCTCACCCCCCGGTTCGAAACGCGCCGACGGATGTTCCCAAGGCAAGCGCCCGTGAAACGCGCTCTCTCCCATGTCGGCACGCCCCTCACACGATTCGTGGCCCCATGGGGAGCTCCACCGAAGTCCCTAGTGGCTGCGTCCACATGCGGTTCCTTCCCACCGCATGTCCATGTCGGCACACCCTTCACACGGTTCGTGGTCCCATAGGGAGCCGAAATGAAGGCCCCACTGGCCGCGTCCGCATGCGGGTTCCCCGCCCGCACGTCCATTTTCTCTTCCCGCTGCGGGCCGCCCGCTGCATCCACGGTTCGTGGTTCCATAGAGGCCCGTCGAAAGAAAGATGGACCCAGAACGTTGTATTCACATTGTTTATGGTTGGGTCCTTCGTTTTTGTTGTTGTTTGTTTTTTTGTTGTTTGTTGTTGTTTGTTGTTGTTGTTTTTTGTTTGTGTGTGTGCTTTGTTATTGTTTTTTTCTGTCTCTCTCTCTCTCTCTCTTTCTCTCAGGTCGTTTTTGGCGTCGGCTGGCGTTCATGAAGAAGTGGCGCGAAGGGCGGCGGATGATTAAGAAAACGTAGAGGGTTCTCAACAGAAAAACAACGGCCTTCCAGAGGTTCAGCGACAAGTGTTAAAAACTTCCAGTCGCCGTTTCTAAGATGCCCCTTTATCTTTTGGGAAGCCCCGCCGCTTTCTTAGAAGGCCGCCCCCCTCGCGCCATCTGTGTATGGGCGTTGTTTACCTCTCCCTCTTTGTTTGTGCCCGTGCCCGGGGGGAACACGTCGAACAATTGGGCCTCTGGCAATCTTTTTTTGTTGGGGGGGGCATCTTGGAAGTCCTCTCGAAACGCCATTACCGTCCTGGGGCATTCTGGGATTGTCGCGGTGGCCACTGGGCCACCTTGGCCGTGTCGAAAGTCGCCCTGCGGCAGCATGGGCCAGTTTCGGGCCGTCGGGAGGCGGCGCTGGTGCATTCCACGGCCGCGCCCAGCTGCCAGTGGAGTCGCCGCCAGGCCAGCCGCTGCAGCAGCTGCAGGCGCCGCGGGGCTGGGGAGGGTAGGAGGAACGTGCCTCTGGAGGTGGGAGTGGAAGGCGGGGATGCCGTTTTGGGTATGCGCTGTGTCTCCAAATATCAAACGACGCGCTTGTTTGTTTCAATCCAGGTTACCTGCGCCCACTATTTATCAGGCCCCCGGGGCAATCAAACACGGATCCTGGACGAACATTGCCCCCCGGGTAAGGGTCGGGATCTCTCTGAGGCCGCTGACGTTGGAGGTGGAGGTTGTTGGAGGTGGAAGGGTGAGGTTGTTGAATGTTTTTTGCTCTTGGTGGGCTCCCAGCCAGAGATGACGGTACGTCTGGGGAGATTGTTTCACACATTTACATATGTCAGGTGTATTGTTGCCTTTTCAGGGTTGGGCGTTTTCTGGTTTTAGAAATTAGTTCCCCGGCTCGCCGTGTGAGACGTCCTCAGAACATAGGTTGGTTGGTTGATAGGCGGGTTGGTTGGTTAGTTACTTGCCCGATCGGTTGGTTGATAAGTTAGTTATGTCTGTTTGGCTGCTTGGCCGGTTGGTTGTTTGGTTGGTTGGTTAAGTTGTCGGCTGGTTTTCTGATTGGCTGGCGGATTGGTTGGTTGGTTGGTTGGTTGGCCAGTTTGTTGGTGGATTGATCGGTTGGTTGGTTGGTTGATTCGCTTGTTTGTTTGTTGTCGCCCCCTCTCTGCCAATCCAAGCCGCGCGCGTCCCGCGGAGCTTTTAGCGGAAGAGGCTCGCTCTCGCCCTGCAGATCAAAAAGTTTGTTTGTTGTCAGGTTGGTTTGTTGGTCGGTCGGTTGGTAAGTGGATCGGTTGGTTGGTCGGTCGGTCGTTTCTTCGGTCATTGAACCTAACCCTACCGTCTAAACCCTAAACCCAGCACTGCAGCTTTACCCCACCCCACGCAACCTAACCTTACCTCTGAGAACACACCCTAAGCAGAACCCTGTCACCCTAAACCCTTACACGCTGATCCTAAAACCCCAACCCTAATCATAAGCATTCAGCCTAAGGCTAACTCGATGCTTGCTCAGCCCTGACCCCCTTATCTCATAGCCCTAGCCCTTAGCACAAACTGTACCCCTGAGCTGGAAATTGTACTACTCTACTATATCCGCCACGTGGTAGCGCAAGGGAGCCAGCGAAACAAGTACAAATCTACGCTGCACATCACGTTGCAACGCAGGAGCGGAAAACATACACTTTCATCATATTCGTCACGCGGCAAAGCCGGCGAGGAGAACAAATTCTCATCCACAGCCCGACGCGGGCAACGCAATGGGGCTAAGCAAACACCATTCTAAGTTTGTCGTCACGCTGCAACGCACTGGGGCGAAACAACATTCGAGCCGCCGTGTGGCAGCGTAGAGGGTAGAGGGGAGAAACAAGTGCCAATCTACGCTATAAGTCACGTAGCATCGCAAATAGGCTGATAATCTACTACTATACTTGATTCGTCACATGGCAATGCAGGGGGGCGGACAAAATACGATTCCATGTTGTTCGCCACGTGGAAACGCAGGGGGCAGGGGCTGAACACCACAGTATTCGACTTTATTCGTCACGTGGTAACACAGGGAGTTGATCAAACATATTCCAATCTAGTCGCCACTTGGCAGCGTAGGTGGGCGAAGTGCCTACAACTCTACGATGTAGGTCACGTGGCAACGCAAATGGGCTGAGACAATACGATTCTTCTCCAATTCATCACGTGGCAATGGAGGGGAGCGGGAACATGCGATTCCTTTCTCGCACGCAGGATCCGCTACGTGGTAACGCAGGAGGTGCGGTGTGTGTGTGTATGTGAGTTGGGGGCAACATTTTACAATGCTAATCTATTCGGCACGTAGCAACCTAGAAGGGCGATAGCGCATTCTCCCACTTCCTCTTCGCGTGGCAATGCAAAGGTGTTGCGAGCACACATTTCTACTCGATTCATTACGTGGCAATGCAGGGAAGCAGAAACTAGCAATTCCGCTCTGCTCACCACGTGACAACCCAGAGGGGGAACACATGCACATTTGTTCCACCCGTCATATGGCAACGCATGGGGGGGGAACGGAACACATACTATTTGTGTTCAAGGCGGATGCGATTCAATTCTGCTCACCGCGTGGCAACGCAGTGAGTTTAGTCAAATTCTGTCTTAGTCTGCTCGGCACATGGCAACACAGGGGGACAATCTATGTTATCCCACTCCCTTCGCCACGTGGCAACGCAAAGAGGACGAGAAAATACGATTCTACGTTAATTCGTCACGCGGCAATGTAAGGGGGGCAGAACAAATCAGATTCGAAAGGTTTGAACAATTCGTAGTGTCAGTGTATTTTGAGAATTCCTGTTTTGAATCAGCTTATCCCGCCTAACGCATAGGTTCCAGGCCCACCGTGTGAGACGTCGGAAAATGCTGGTTGGTTCGTTAGCGGGTTGGTTGGTTGGTTGCTTGCCCGATTGGATGATCGACTGGTTGGTTGGCCGGTTGGCCTGTTGGTTAGTTGGTCAGCTGGTTGGTTGGTTGGTTGGTTGGTTGTGTGATTGGCCGGTTGGTTGGCAAGTCGTTTGTCTACTGGGCGGGGTCGAACCATAGGTATTCCACGTTTTTAGATACAGATTGAAACGCACGCGTCGATGAGCGTGGTCCAGGCCAGCGTCCTGCGTGCATGTTTCGAGGGTTTGATGAGTGATCCCCACCCGCACGCCGCAAACCGCACGTCGCGTCGCGCCAGAGGGGGAAACCAGGAGAGGCGAACCCATACCCATCCCATCGCTTCCACATACAGCGTAGGCGTCGGCGCATGACGACTGGGGCGGCGTCTGGGGGGCATGCTCTGGGAGACGGAGTGCCCGCGCCCACACTTGCCCTCCTGCGTCCAGGGCTTGGGGCTGAGAGGCTGCGTCCACCAGCACATTCTGGCGTACGTCTCACACGGACCTGATCGTCGGAGGCCGGGAGAGTTTTTCTCTACAGCATTTTTCTGACCTGGCAAAATCCTGAGCCCGTGTTTCTGGCGAGGGGGCAAGCAGAGAGGAAGGGTCAGAGGGGAGGTGCTGGACGAGGAGCCTCTCTTGCCACCTGTGGAGAGGCTGGCGATTTTTTTAAGCGACGGGGGCAATGATGTTTTTGTTTCAGCGCCCTTCACTCCGAGGCCCGAAAGCCATCACTTCACTAATTTTGGGCCCCAGGGCCCACTGAGGCCCCAGGGGCCCCAGATTAGTGAAGTGATGTTTTTTCCCACGTAAGGACCCCGAAATTCGCCATCTCACTAAACCGAGCCCAGGACGAAAGTCAGAGGCCGAATTGCTGCTGTGATGCAACATCGGTCTCGTATCCACACCCCGGACTCGCAGCGACGATGCCCGCCTCAGCCCCGAGCAGCCCGCCTCAGCTCCGAGCGCCCTCCCAGCTGAAGGTGACGTTCTCGCACGAGGGGTTCGATGTGGAGCGGAAGGAAGCGGAGGAGACGGAGGAGGAGGAGGAGGAGGAGGAGGAGGAGGAGGAGGAGGAGGAGGAGGAGGAGAAGGGAGGAGGAGGAGGAGCAGGAGGGGGGGGAGGAGGAGGAAGAAAAGGATGTGCCGGAGGAGGACGAGGGCAGGGATCAAAGCGGTCCGCTTTCTCCCGCATGGCCGAGCCGGCTGCGCGCGCGCCCTCCTCGTGCGGATCCTCTGGGGGCGCCTCCCGAGGCGCCGTGAGGCACCCCGGGAGCACGCGGGAGGGCCACTTCGGGACGCGCGGAGGCCCAGCGAGAGGGCCCACGAAGGCAAGAGTCCCGTCCCGCCGCGGCACGTGCCCGTCACCGCGCCGGGGGGGGGGGGGGCTCTCCTCCTCCTCCTCCTCCTCATCCTCGGATGGAGAGGCTTTGGGGGGGGGGGGGGGGCATGCGGTGAGGGAGGGTACGGGGGAGGGGGCGGGGCAGAGGGAGGGCAGCGGGAGGTGAGGCCAGGGCGGGGGGCAGGTGTGGGGGGGGGGGGCACGCGGGGAGAGAAATTGGCTTGGCCGCGGCCCCGAAAGCTCCCAGGCGCTGTGTGGTCCGCTCACTTCGCTGCGGCACGCATCCGTTCGGCATCCATCGGCATCTCGCTCTGTTCTCCCTCCCTCCATCCCTCGCTTTCTTGCTTCCTATTCCTTTTCCTTTGCGGTTGGTGCTTCGCATGGTGGAGCCCCCTTTCCCGCAGTGGGGAAGCTGGCCATTTTCATCATCAACGCATAGGTCGTCTTGAGAAAGGAAAACACATGTGCACATTTGTTCGACATCCGTTTTCGTGTTGTAGGCCAAATGGGGACGGAATGGAAAAGCCAACGGGTGCACGTTGGGCCTGGTGCGCTGGAGCCCCAAGGAATGTTTCGCAGGAAACGGAGCATATGAAAGAACAACGGGCACGATACTCCAGCCGCTGCATAGCGTTGTGGTGGACGTGTTGTTGTGTTGCAACGCAGTTTGCCTCAGCTGTCTAGCCTGCAATTGAGATTTGTTCGGTTGTACCTGGTTTGTCGGGCAGGTATATTGTCATCACGGTCACAGGAAGTGTCTAGTCTAATAGACGGGTTGCATTCTGTGTGCGCCATATGTCATGGCATCTTTGTTTGGCTGCTTTGAGCTTCAGTGTGGGCAGCCTTGGGCGGCCCTTGGATCGGTGGGAATTTGTCCTTTGGGAACAGGCGAGAAGCTTTGGGGGCATCTGAGTGCTATCCGAGGACTGCTCGCCGTTTCCCGAGGATGTCTAAAGCACCCCTACACTGATTTTTTTTGTGTGGGAAGTCACATGTTTAAGCGTGGCTTTTGGTAGCACATGTTTTGATGCCGCGTGGGGGCATAAGTAGAATTTGTGTAGAGTCTTCGGGTATCTGGGGTAAAGACAGTCCAGGACTCTGAGGAACGATTTTCAGCCACGCGGGGCCAGCAAGGCATGCCATGAGACAATGTGTATCAAATTCGTGGGTTGTCATCAGGCGGTCTCGGGCCATTCTTGGGGCTGCCGTTGTGCAGTTCTGGACCGCGGTCTTCGAGTGTTTGGCGCTCGTGTGGAGGTCCTCATTGGGCCGTCTTGGACACACCTTGAACCGTCTGATGTCGTCTAAAAGTTTCTTAAATGGACGAGGCGGTCAGCTTTGTGAGACGTTCTACGTTTTTTCAGTCCTTCTCAGCAGGGGTCAGATGTGCACTTGGGTCTTGTGACAGCCGTTTGGATGACAGTTTGCACACAGTGCAGACCCGTAGTAAGGATCGAGTACCTCATCCAGACTACCCTGTATCTCTGTCTCCTCGGCCCATCCTCAGCCGTAGACTGCAGTGTTTTTTGCTTGATGTCGTTATAATTGATTCCACGTGGACTTTCAAGGACTTCGCATCCTTGCCTTGTATCCTCGTTGCTCAGTGGGAAACCTCAGAAAGGGTGTACAGCGTCACAGACGACCGGCGCCTGACCTCAAAGAGGGTGTTAGCAGCCCTCTTTTCGACCACGATGTTTGATCCCTGGGGAGCTTGAGCACGCCCCTCTTCCTCCTCCTGCTCCTCCTCCTTCGGCTGCAAGCCGGTACTAGAGCGTCTAGTCCGTTCAGACATCGAATTGTGCTCCAGATGCCTGCGCCGTCGTCGTCGTCCTCCTCCTCCTCCTCCTCCCTTTTCCTCTACCCACCCCTTCCTTCTACCCCCTCTTTTTCAAGCGCCATGTGCCTTGCCACCCCAAGAAAGCGGGGGTTGGCGGACCTCATGGGCTGAGGCAATGGCCGAGTCCGACCTTGTATGCCCTGCCACGTGGGTGGGGGACTAGCGCAGACATGGTGTGGGGTGGTCATCCAGGTCGCCCGTGCACTGTACTCAGCAGCTACGGAAGCAGCAGTGTCCACTGGCCTCGTTTCGACCCGATTCGATGCGTCGAGCCTGTGGACGCAGCCTCGCCTCGATCCGGAGAGGCGGCAGTGAACGGCGGCGGCGGCGGCAGTGAGCGGCGGCTGCGGCGGTGATTGTGGCGGTGGCTGCGGCGGTGACAGCGGCGCTGGTTGCCGCGGCCGCTCGCGGCTGCAGGCGCAGCACGCGGCAGGCTCCGCGCGCCTCGGCGCCCAGCCTCGCGGCGGTGGTGCGACGGGGGGGCCCGCGCGGAACTCCAGGCCAGTCGCCCTCCGCGCCTCGCTTCTTTGTCCGATGGTTTCAGGCAGGCTCTTCTCCAAGGGCGCCCTCGAGGGCGCGAAGTTATTCGCGCTTCGCGGTCCTCGTTCCTACTCCCCCTCCCCGTCCTCCTCCTCTCCCTTTTGGGGGCGGCGCGCGAGCGCGAAGTTATCCGCACTTCGCGCTTCGCGCAGCGCGAAGCGCGAAGTTGGGAGCCCTTGCTTCTCGCTCAGGGGTCTCGTCGAGGTCTCAGGTACGGTGCAACCCGCATAGCAAGGATGGGCAACCTTCCCAAGGGCACCTTTGCATCCTTGCCTCCTCGGCCATCCTTGGCCGCTTTCGTTGGCCGCGCCCCGCTCGGAAAGCTTCGAAATTGGCGTCCAAGGCCCTAGCATCCTCACCGCGCATCCTTATGAAACGGGCCGACTGTAGCCATCTGGATCTTATTTGGACCATCTTTGGGAGGTCTTGGGAGCCTCGTGGGCTGTTTTGAGCGCAGTAGTACCGAAAAGAAACGAGAGATATCCAGCTGCCCACGGCAAGTCCTGCCACCGTGCCTGGATTGTGGGTTATAGGCCGCCTAGTGGATGTTCACTGGAATCTCGTGGGAGGCCTCTCGGGGGCCTCTTGGAGGCAGCTTTGATGCCTCTTGGGGGGCCGTTTGGGAGCCCCTTGGGGGCCCCAAAGAGCCTCCTGGGGGCCTCCTGGGGGCCTCTTGGGGCCTCTTGGGTGCTTCTTGGGGCCCCCTGGGAGCTCCTTGTGGGGCAGAAGGCTTGAATTTTCGGTTCGTGTTCCCTCTCTGGGCTCTTTTGGGGCTGTCTTGTGGCTCTCTTGGGCCGTCTTGGGCGCCTCTTGGGGCGTCTTGGGGCGCTCTTAGTCTGTCTTGGGGCCTCTTGGAGGCCTCTTGGGCCGTTTTCGGGTGGTATTTTGGGCCTCTCGGGCCGTTTTGGAGCGTTGGAAATCCGAAATGGCGAGAACGCCAAACTCTTTCAAAAACGATGGGAAAATCAATAATTTGTGTCTCTGGGGGCCCTCTTGGGAGGTCTCTTGGAGGCCTCTTGGGGCGCGCCATCTTGAGGCCATCTTGGGAGTCTTTGAGCGATCGTTCGGCGACTGTGGGGCCTTCTTGGACCGTCTGGGGGCCTCCTGGGCCGTCATGGAAGCCTTGGGGAGCCCCAGGGAGGCGCCATGGACCACCCGGGAGCATGTCCGGCGCGCGCGACGATGTGCGGCGGAGAGAGGGGGGGGGCCCCTCAAAAGATCAACAGCAACCCTACCAGACAGCACTTAGCACTCTAGCACGCCTCCGCGTGCCAGGGGGCGCGGTGGCGCGTGACGGGAAGCGCCCCCGGCATGCACCGTTTTTTTTTTTCTCTAAAATAATATAAAAAAACAAGAAAATCATGTTTTAAACAAAAGAATACGGATTCCATCCCGGAGCTCGTTGGCGGATGACGGAAAGCGCCTGTGCAAGGCCCTGGCTCGAGTGACTGTGGCAAATTTTACGGTGTCGGCGGGGCCGCAAGCCCACACACACCATGATTGCAGATCGATGGTGGGACATCTTTCGTTTCTCCTCTTCTGGTGCGCCATCGCAAGCGTGATTGGCTTACGCTGGAGGGCCGAGCGTTCGGTGGCGGCACGGCCACCGTGGAGCCCCATGCCGCCCAACGACGGCTACGACGGGGGCGAGCCAGTGCAAAGCTTGGGCACATCCTACAGTACCTACCGCGCCGCGCTCGCCAGGGGGCGGGCAGGGTACTGGGGCGACCGCCTAGCACGTTGGGATACAGTGGCGCACCGTTGCAGCTGGATCTCACACTGTGATTTTCAATCGTGGTGGTGCATCCTTGCTTCTACACATTCGTCTCCACTGGGTCCCTCAGTCGTCGCCGTTTTGTACGTGTCGCAACAGGTAGTATCAAAGAATGTGTCAGGTGACTTTGAGTTTGGCTCGGTCGGCCGCTATCACGCTCGTCCTGTTGCACTTTCCGTGAGCTCAGTTGTCTCATGTTCTCATGTTTTCGCATTGTGGCGCATGGCGTTGCCACCTTTGCTCTGCTGGAAAGGGCGGTTTGCCTTCCGTGCGGGTCACTTTCGCTTGCCTTCTGCATTCTCCCTCTCTGCGTGTTTTCCACCGCGGCTGCAACGGCATGCCGCCTGTCCCGTGGTCAGAGGGCCATGGCCAGTCGTGCGTGCCCGCCACCCGAGGGTGGCAGCAGCCATGTGCGCATGTGCGCGGGCCACCCCAGAGCGGGTAGGCCTTGCCGAGGGCTCGCGAGACCTCTGAATCGGGGTTGCGTTTCCAAACCCCGAGAGGGCCCCAAGAGACCCCCAGGGGCGCCCCACAAGGCACCCAGACAGCTCAGAAGAGCCCCAAGACGGCCTAAGACGGGCCAAGGGGGCCCCAAGAGACTCCAGGAACCCCCTCTGGAGGTTTCCAAACGGCCTCGAGAAAGCGCCGAGACGGCCCCAGATGGCGCCGACACGGCCCATGAAAACACCCACAGAACCCCACGACGCGCCCATGCAGTCCAACCCAGAAGCCCACAGGAGGACCCAAGAGGCTCCCAAGAAGCCCCCGACAGGCCCCAAGACAACCTCGCGCTGCGCCAGGGGCCCCCAGGGTAGCCCGATAGGGTCACCAGGGCCCCCTCCTGATTCAACGTCGTTCCCCACTTGCCTCGTCTTATCCTCTGTCGTCGTCGTCGTCGTCGTCGTCGTCGTCGTCGTCGTCGTCGTCGTCGTCCTCCGCATTCCCCCTGGTTCTCGCCGTCGTTCTCTTCGTCCTCCTCCTCGTGCTTCGCTTCCTCCTCGTTGTCCTCGTGCTCCTCCTCGTTATCCTCGCGTCCCCCACGTCGCCCTCGTCGTCGCCTCGTCGCCCGCGCCTTCCTTTCTTCTTCTTCGCCCAATAACCGCGTTTGGTAATTGAGACCCCCCCCCCCCCCCCCCTCCCGGCAAAGCGATGACGCCCTCGGCCCCTGGGCGCGTTATTCCGCGCCCTGAGGGCGAGCCTGCGTCCAGACAGCTTTCGCCGGGCCTCCCCCAGTCGCCCGCGTGGCCCCATCCTTGGGGCGCGCAGCTTTCCCTCCTCCGACCCCCTCGCCGGTCTGGCTCGAGAGGGCCCGGGGGCGCTCAGTTTTGCACCGAGGCTTCCGCGCCGCAGCGCCCCCCCCCCCCCCCCCCCTGTCAGGGATCCGACAGAGGTGCTTCCGAAGAAGGTCCAGCGCCCGTGAATCCAGACGGACGTCGAGGATTTCAGGATGGCGGCCCCTAGCGAGCTCTGCAGAGGTCCAACGTCAGCACCGCGCGCCCTGGGAGTCGCCCCCGCGACGCAGGAGTCGACGGGGGGCGAGGGCGGGGGGCTCAGGCGCTTGCTCCTGCTTGCCATGAGCCTGCGAAGCTCAGAGAGATTGAAGCCCCGCGCGCAGAAGGGGGACTGGACGAGTCGGTTCGAAGGCGGGATTGAGGGCGCGAGCGCGGCCAAGCGGACGATTCAGCATTGCGTCATCGCGGCCTCAGGGGGGGCCCGCCCTAAGACGCCAGACCCGGCAGCTCGGGGTGATACCTGGCGCCGCTGGCGTCGAGCGTTCAGGTCTGGTGCGCGGAACTGCGGCTTATCAGGCCGCGTCAATTAATTTAGCTGCCGGATCAGGCCCGTTCAGTGGGCTCGCCATCGGGGTGGGGATTTTTGGATCCGATGGCATTTCGTCGGGGCCGACCGCCATGGAAATACCAGCCAGACAGCTCAGGTCGCCGCCCTACCAGACATACCGGACATACCTACCTTGCCAGACAGCTCACCCCGAGGCAGCTCGCCCTACCAGGCCTACCAGACAGCTCAGGTGAACGAGGCATGGCCCTATCTTGCGCGGCAGCTCACCCTGCCAGACAGCGCAGGTCAGGTGCGCTACCAGGCAGCTCGCCCTACCAGACAGCTTCCCATTCATAACGTGAGCTCGCTGTCTGCGTGCCCCCAGAACGGCGCGCTAGAATCTACGCGTGACGGCGAACTAGATTCCTAAAGAATCCTGTGGAATTCCTAAGGGTTCCCCAGGAACCAGGCAGCTCAGGTCACCCTGCCAGATCACCGTCCTACCAGACCAACAACCCAGCAGGCCTACCAGACCCACCTTACCTGGCAGTTCACCCTGCGGGTCTGGACGGATTCGATCAGGCTGTGACCATCCAGACGCACGTGGGTCAGTTTCACGAGGTGCTCGACTTCTACGCGTTCGGAGGCCGTCGGGGCCGTCGGGGTCACTCTGTCTGCAGGGCCGCGCAGCCCGTCGCAGGGCTGATTGCCCCGCGCAGTGCCTGAGCGTGGGCAGGGGCAGATGATGACGCGAGGGGGGGGGGGGGGGGGGGGGGGAAGCGGGCGGCGCGGGGCAGGATCGGGTTTTGTTCTCTGGGCCTCCTTCTCGGTGGAGGACAGTGCTCAGTCTCAGCGCTCAGTGATCCTGTTCGGCTTTTCAAAGCTGGGTCACGACGCAACGCTGTTCCAGTTGACGGGTTTCCTTCAGTGGAGGCCCGCCAGCACCAGCGATGACAGCTTTCAGCGCTCCCTCATCCGCCAGAATTTGAGATATGCTATACCTAATATCTCTGGGGTGTGGGCGGGCCCGAGATCCGATGCGCCCTCTAAGCTGCCCCATCTTGACTGCCTGGCCCATGTGATGCGTCGCATGTTCTCGCAGCGCCAAGATCGCGCCGACCATGGCGCCAAGGGGTGCCGGGGGACTCCGAGCGGTCATCGAGCAGGGTTGCGGGAGAGGGTTTCGCAGGCCCTCCTGGGTGTGGTATTGATATACAAAATACCCATCCCGGGGGTGGTCTTTGTATACCAAAACTGTCCCCGGGGGGTGCGACCTGACCCTGTCGGGGCGCCCGCGCCAGCCCCGTCCGGCCGCCGTATGGAAGCGCCCCGAGAGATTCGAGCGACGTGGGCGTTGTCGCACTGCAGAGTGGGCAGTTTACTGGTGACCATTCCTGATCGGGCTCC